AATATATCCAAGAAAGCCCACGCAAGTCTAGAAAATGCGGCAAGTCTAGATTTCCTCAGCTTCAGGAAATGAAAATGAAGAAAGTCTCAGGGCTCCTTTTCATTATATTCTTTTTTTTTTTTTACTATGAACATTTTTCAGTAAAATATGTTCATTTCAGAGACTAGTTGTTAGTCTATGAAATACCTAGCCACAGCTTCACAGTAGTCTGTCTCACTGTCCCTGAACCATATTATTGTCCCTATAGCCAAGCCCTCCCTGCAGTGCTAAAGCCCTAAAAAAAGCCCTAGATTTCCCCAGGTTCAGGAATCTGAATTCAGGTTCTGAATTTCCCATCTCACTGGGGCTCCTTTTCAATTTAAATGTTATAGTGTCAAAATTATATGGATTCACAGACTTAGTCTTAATCTACTTAACATGGATACCCCGCTCCAGCAGTCTACTGACTCTGATCTGACCAGTCCTTGTTCTATCCCCTTCATGCACCAGGCAGGGTAACAAGAAGTACCATCTTTTGGTACAACATGCCGGGAACCAAACCCCTGACAACCGGGCAGACGTTCTACCCACTGACCATGCTGTCTCAAATTTTAAGGTAAAAGCTTCCATATTCCTAATACAGTCACAATTAGTAGATTTGTTGAGCCTTGGATAACTCTAAATATTTACATAATTCTTTTCACAGGCGAGACGAAATGCTGTCTAGCATCACTGATACCTGATGCTGACTGGGATGTATCAAGCAGAGAAGCAGCAGACGATTCTCGACCATTCAAGGCCCATAATTACTGGCGACCATGTCCACGGCTTCACTGTCTGGGCTAAGTGAGAATATATTGCTGAATATTGATCTCCTATAGAGCTGACCTACAAACAAGGACAAGCAGTACTTCAGACAAATGGTGATTCCAATTGATAACACGGTCTTCCCGGTTTGGTCTGTGTTTGTAAAGGTGTTCCAGATTGCGGACCAGCTTGGTTGGACAATCTAGCAGATATTGATGAAAATGTATACAACACATGTTGATCTGACTCAGGTTTTATTACAATTATGGTGTAGGCCACATCAATCAGTATGTCAGTTATGTCAATGATGTGTCTCGGGTGACATTACAATTCTCAAGGCTGATAGATCTTTTCAGGGAGGAATTCATAACAGTTATTCTAGGTTCACTCTTCACAGAAATTAGGTTACCATGACCAATGTGAGAAGGCCTGGATTTGTCATTGTACATTACAATGTTTTGACCTGATAGATCCCCTAAAGATTCTGATCTCGTTCCGCAAAAGAAGATTGCATCTTAGTCTGTGTTGAAGTCTTGAAGCCAAGATGCTAAGAAAAGGAAATAGGGAAAGGTCCTGTCCACAAATAGATGTGTTTTTAAAAGGCTTTTCGATCAGTATGCAAAACACTTGCATGATGGGAAGGCCGATGTTGGATGTGTTTTCAAATGGATCTCGGTCCGATAAGCAGAACACTGAACAGAAGTTCAGCGGAAAAAGCATGTGTTTTCAACAAAAACTTGTTCAGTATTCAGAATAGTTATGATCAAATAAAATATGTAGGGCGTTTTCTTGTCATGTTCACGCAAACACATACAGTAGACAGTTTGACTTGTGCAAGAACAGGAAAACCAGAGAGAGCTCTTCCACAGATACAAGCTTGTGAGTGAGTTCCTGGTTTTACGCCGTTTTAGCAATATTCAAGCAATATTACCCTTTACACATTCCTGAGCCTTTTATGTACTTTTAGTCACTGACCAATTCAATCACATTAATGCTAGAGATGATACAGATATAAGCTACAAAACACATTCCATAATAACAGTGTTTATCCTTATCATTGATGCTTGATGCTATGTCATTTAGCTTAGTGAACCTTGTCGTACGTCTCCTTTCAGGAGTTTAATAATAATAATCATAATCATAATAATATGGCCACTTATATAACGCTGAACTCCACGCCCGCAGGGACATGCTCAAGTTTACATGAACTCCATGCCACAGGGACATGCTCAAGTTTACCTGAACTCAGAAACAAATGAATAAGAACCACTCTTGTCTCAGAATACTTTCATAAACAGTTTGAGGGGCACATGCTGGGGTTCCTCACCAGTGGGAAAACATACAACCACAGCTCTCAAAGTGTTTGTTCGTCTGGTAGTCACACTGGACATATGAGTGAGTGAGGTTTTACGCAGCTTTTAGAATATTCCAGCAATATCATAGGACACGGAAATGGGCTTCACTCATTGAGCTCATAGGGAGTCGAACTCAGGGCTACAGCATGACAAGCAAACACTTTAACCACAAGGCTACCCAACCTCCTGGATCACCCTTCAGGATGTGATCCAGCATATTTTACAGAAGAAAACAAATTCCTAGATTATCTTCATAAAATATAATAAAAAAGGAACCCAGGGACTTTCTTCATTTTCAAAAACTGCAGTTATCTAAACTTGCCACATATTCTAGACTTGCATGGGCTGTATTGGGTATACTTGTTTCTCTCTGTTGGTACATGTTGACAAGTTTGTGGCTAAGAGTTTGAGATCAAACTGATCAGGTTTATCACAAGTGACTCAAGAATATCAATAATAATTGTCCATAACTTCTGTCCACAAGAACAAAACAATGTTTCCAGTTAAGCTGCGTAAAATGACCTTTTTTAAGTTCCTGCAAACGTCAAAACTTATGATGTAATCGCAGCCACTTTAATCTCAGTGGGAGCCTATCTTTCTGCACAGACTAGAACCATGTCTTGCAACTTAATCTTTCTTAACAAGGAAAAACATGGAAAATCTTTGAAGCTTTTCTCTTTTAACAAAGTTCAGGTAATTAAATTCAGGAAACCTCAACGAGTAACCTAATTATTACTCATAGAAGCATAAACATCAAACGTGCGATCACATTTCTGCTTTTTACATCTATTTCAGCGTCTTCTCTTGAACATCCACATCTGGCGTTTAAATCACTGAGTCACTGCTGCCCTTCCTTGTTTCTTAAACTGTCTGTTTTGTTAAGAAAAACATTTTTCATACTCACTTACCATCTCATGTTAATTGTTTCTGAAATCAAACTGTACACTACTGAGAGTGTACATTATGCTTCAAGAATCATATCCAGGGTTATTTTAGTACTTCTTTAGGGTTCAACACACAACTTTTGAGATGAAAATTGCACAAAATGACACTTCACTGCATAGTATTTTATACTAAAAAGTACATTATGTTTTTTAGAAACACTTACAAAACTGGGTGTTAACAGGACCCTATCATATGTATTTCAAGGGTTCTTACAATAAAGATGAATGTATTGAAAAGTAATGATATGTGAGTGAGTGAGTTTGGTTTTACGCCGCTTTTAGCAATATTCCAGGAACATCACGGCGGGGGACACCAGAAATGGGCTTCACACATTGTACCCATGTGGGGAATCGAACCCGGGCCTTCGACGTGACGAGCGAACGCTTTACCCAGTAGGCTACCCCAGTAATGATATGTAGTGAATAGTACAATTATGTTACAAATAGTACAATATTTCAATGATACTTTAATTTCAGGAACTTAATAAAATATTTCTTGTAAACAAACTGGTAAAATGTTTTATTGAGAAACCCTCAGGACACAGTTTTATTTGTGTGGTTGGGGTTGGGTGGGGTTAGGACAGGTGGGGTTAGGTGGGGTGGGGTTCATTTTATATGTTTGAATGTACTGGATGTACATATCTCTGTCATGTAAAATCATGACATGATTTTTACTTTTTGATAAAAGAGTACACAGGTTTTTACAGATCTCGACTAATCAATCAAATTGACAAAAATCAGTCAATCTTGTGAAAGATTAAAACCGAACTCATAGAAAAACATTTACATGGCGCTTCCATTCCACAAACATTTCAGTTAATTTCACACAGATGATGTCAGTTCATGTCAATTTTTTCCAAAGCAGGCCAATTTCCTTCCATCAGCTCTGTACAGTGACAAGCAGCTTGTTGCACCAGTTGCCCATTTCACAGATTTTATGTCAATTTCAGGCTCATCATGTGCATTTCCTGCTAAATATCTGCTTCAGATCTGATGCTGGTCTCAATCTGCTCTCATTGGACATGAGGTGTAGATGAAAGCTGGCTGTCCATTTCCTCTTAACAGCAGGGGGTAGATATTTCTGATAAGACTCAACAGCAAAACTACAGGTTCCTTTGATGATGGATTACCACAGACTCTATATTTAGATTACGTTTATTCTTGTTTATTTGAGCACGCAACAGCAGCAAGAAACTCCGACATTTACCTCAGTAATCACTAATGGATAACAGTATCCATTAAGCTGCCACACACAACTATTCATTATATTTACAGCTCAATTTATCATAATGTATTCAAGGTCCTCCAAATATTAAATTTCTAAAACAGCACACAGTGACATTTATGACTGAGCTTATTGCATTACAGCTCGATCTTGTAATCATCGTAAAAAATGTTGTTTATGTCGAATCATGTGATGTTAGTTCAAATTATTGAAGCAAATGCTCATTTCTGTCCCCAACCCAGCCTCAGCAGATGTAAAAACAATGACATGCTCAGTAACCCTATATCTCTCCAACGTTTCAAACTTTTTTTCAGTCTGTCGCTACAGCTAAGAGTGTGCTTTGTTTACGAAGGCAGGCGTTAGGGAACTTATAATGTCTTAACTGTGTTAATGCTCATGTATAAGCAGGAATATCTCAGGAGAATTTAAATCCAGCGGTGGCGTATAACTGCTGTAAAACCAATCGATTTACAGCGCCACAATTCATGTCGCAGTTTTGTAACGCTAACTTCAGTCTCCAAGTTGAAATGACAAGCCAGTCTGACAGAATGCCTATGAGCATTCAACTGTGAGTCTTTTGTGTGGAAATACATACAAGCATTGAACCATATCGACAGAGGTGTCTGAGAAGCGAATGTTAATATATGTGGGTAGATCATAACTTAATACATCTCTCTGGCTGATACCTACCTTCTCCTCGATTTAGCCATGACATCAATTTTAAATTCTTCATTGATGGCATACTGAGGGAGAGGTTCTTAATCCGAGATAAATCCAAACGATCCATTATTGCAAGTAAAATCCACGAAATATATCCAAACCAAGAACTGTCAAACTAAATCCGTCTGCTTTGGCTGCCCATCAGGCAAGACATTGGCCTCTAACACTTCCAAGCTCCCCACAGCTGTCTGATTGAAAGCTCTGAGTCCGAGCTCTCCTAACAGTGGAGCTCTCCTTTAGACCAGGGTTTTGGGCATCTTGTGGAGGCAATTGATAATCCAAACTTCTGACCTCCAAGGTTCCAGGAAATCTATATGCACAGTTAGAGCTCACACTGGGAGCTGTCTGTCCCTACAACTGTCAATACTATTCACTGAATTAAAGGGAAAAGCTGATTTTAACAACAAAGAAAAAATCCTGAAAATGAAAATGTGAATCTCCCTGGAAAGCCCGCTTCTTGCCTCCGATTGGATGATAGCTAATTTTCAAACTATTTGACAGACATAACAAGGAGCCTGCCATGAGCGGTAGCGTGCTGCCCTAGTTGGACATTACTGACATTATTTAATACAATGCTACAGTAATAATATTACTGTGAGCAATTAGGTCCCACGCTGACAATTAAGCCAGTGGAAACTGGCTGAGATTTTATTGGAATGTTGGCTAAAGAACGACCTACTTGGTCTAAACAGAAGCAGGGAAAATCAATATTCCTTATAATAGCACAAGACACCATCTAAATGAGTACAACCCACCCACACTCCCAACCACTGAGCATATTCTACATTGTCTTTCTGGGGTGACCATGTGTGACAAAGAATTAAAAAGAATTATAAATGTCTCATTAAATATATTGACTATCTATAGTGAATTGTATTCATACATAGCTATAAATACGTTTTGAAACACGTCAGTCAATTTATGTTAATTTAATTTTTAAAATTAGTTTCAGTTATTTAAAAAAGAGACACATTACAAAAGTCCCAAGCAAACCTTCAATTCCTGGACGACTTACTTCCATAAGTTGTCAAGACTTTTCCACTAAAAGTACATCAAATAATAACAACCATAAAAGATTAATTTACAAACAATTTTAAACAATGTTTCATAAACTATTTTTGTTGGTTACTTAAATAAAATTAAACATTTAAACTCAAGTTAAAATAAACCTAATCAAGAAACAAAGCAGAAAATGCAATGCTTCATGAGAAGGAACAAATAAATCTGATTTGAAAGGCAGATATTTCAAGATTTCATGATAATTCAAACCAATTATCACTTCAAAGATATACGGGAGTCGTAAATGCAAAATAAACAGGCTGGCATTGATAAGACAAGTAGCCGTGCTTATCTGCCTCCGATACAACAGAATGCACACTTTGGCACCTTCGTTGCTGTTGTAAGCCTATCTGTTAGTTGATAACGGTTGTAGTTGCTTCAGCCACTTCTTGCGTTAAGGTTGGTGGATGTACAAGCCTGGAGTGGCATCAGTTGGAGGAAGGTTTGAGGGTCTTGAGGGGTGGAACAATCAATGGAAGACATGCAACTTTATAGGAGAGGTGAGGTGAGGTGAAATTGGGTTTAACGTTGTGCTTGAGAATATTTCGCTCATATGACGAACTTTATAGGAGAATTCTTTGAAATTATTTTTTAATTTATTGGTATCTATGTCAATAGTATCATGATTTCAGTTGTCTTCAAAACATAAACCTCCAGTTTGTTTGTTTATTATTTGTTAATGCCTCACAGAACATTTTTGTCAGCTTCATGGCGTCAGTAAGTAAATAGTCTGGACCAGACAATCCACTGACTGAATCACAAGCATTTATGCAACTGGAATACAATGACGTGTCAATCAAGTCAGGGAGCCTGACCACCTGATCCTGTGAGACGCTACTGATGACAAATGAAGTCAAGTTTCACGGAGCACGTGTTTATGACAGCAAGGATTACCCACCAGGTGGTGCACATACAGTGTTGTTGGTGCACATGCTCGTATTTTTGTGATCATTAGATGACCCCATTTTAAATAGGGTTATCATATAAAACATATACAGCATGTTTTAATAACGTGGGTATTAATCTTAAAACAGGTAATTATATTAGTTGGTTCTTGCACTGATGCTAAGTTTCATGACCGGGAATTCGGTCTTCGTAAGAGAGTAAGTCTATTGTCCCTTGGCATTTCGTGTTTATGTATCCTGTGTTATGTATCCCGTGTTATGGATCGAAGCAGCATGTTAGCTGACTGAATGGATCGGATAAGACTGCTTTGAACATTATTTCAGTTATATCATGGTATGTCCACTCAGAGGGAGACTGAGTGAGTGTGTTTAGTTAACGCCGCTTTTTGCAATATCACAGCGGGGACACCAGAAGTGGGCTTCACACATTGTACCCATGTGGGGAATCGAACCTGGGTCTTCAGCGTGATGAGCGAACACTTTAACCACCAGGCTACCAGAGGGAGAGGGAGCCAAAAGTAGTACATATATTAATATGCTTGAATGACTTAAAACCAGCAGATCCTGGCATGAGTAGGGGATGCAACTCTGCATAGGGTTCAGCAAGACCTCAGATGACTAAGCGTCCATGTGACAAGTCCACTGTGACAAGTTTAGGAAAGGGAGAACAGATGAAAAATGATCAAGTTTACAAACAATAAAGATGGATGATCAGATGTGAGTGTGACAAAAGGGTCAAGGAGTTCGAGGTCAACAGGTCAAACATTGAGTTTTTCCCTAGTTTAAGAAGTGACATGACTCATGACAGGTACTTTGTCTGATGGACATGTTTGCCATGCTGAGATACCTGTCGGGGGCTGAGATACCTGTCGCGGGGCTTCTTCTTTCATCCTCACCTTGTAGTCTACATGATTCAATGTTCATCGTTCAGCTGAACGCACAGCTTCAAGTGATAGCTGTCTTTATGGGCTTTATAGTCCCTTGTGTGGACACTGTGTTTGTCAGTTTTACACCCGCTAAGTGTCCCCCGGTGATGGGTGGTTAATCACATGTCAACATCTCCCGAATTTGTTGTCAGCTTCAAAATATGGATGTTGTGGTACAGTGGTTATGTGATCGTAAAATGGTGAGTGAGTGAGTGGTTGAGTGAGTGAGTAAGTGTGTGTAAAACTAAGGTGGTTGAGTTGTTGAGTGAGTGGTTGAGTGAGTGAGTGTAAAACTAAGATGGTAGAGTAGACGCAGGTCTGAGATGTTTGGAGTCAGTAAACAGTATCAAGGCTTTGTTCAAGTTAATCCTGACTGGATGTGAACAATTAGATAATGGACATAAACTACATAGCCATCAAAATGAATTATAGTAACACAAGTAACACAACACGACATGTCACTACGCCTTGCAAAGCGAACAAGTAAGAGATGCAGTCCTGTCCATGAAACTCACAATGACAGACAATGTTGATTTTGATAGGTTTTATTTGCAGTTTTAAACTTCAAGTATATAATTTCATTCTTCAAATGATATAAACAAACCTGTCAACATCCTCAGGCTCAAGTTATAACAGAATTACCTCCCCCTGTCTACTAATCATCCCGTCTGCCTCAGTCTCCCCTCTGAAAGCTCCACCGCCCTCGCACCTCCACTTTAACCCTCCACTCCTTCCTTAATCCTTCACTTCTGCTTTAATCCTCAACTTCTGTTTTAACCTTCCCTCTTCCGGCTCCAAGACAGATGGTTTTATAATTAAGATTTTCATAATTCATTTCCAGTGAAAAGTTGGTCACACAAATAGAAGAAATGATATCATTCTACGGTCCATGCATGGGAAGTCTGAGTACATATAATTGGAAGCCATGAGAATGTCAATATGCGTGTCTGCAGCAACCACAAATCTAGAGAAAGACCTACATCATCACATCCAACCCTGTCCCACACAGCAGACTGAGGATTAGCTGTGTCTGAGGATACATGTTTCCTAGCATGTTTGTGACAAAAGAAAAGTCTGGGTATATACCAATTTGACATGGTGAACAAATGATGTTTACTACACAAGCATACTTGTTTAGCAACTCGAAATTCAATTTCTGTTCAGATTGTTTTTCAATGCTGCTCTCACTCTCATCAGTATCATTGTGCTAAGAGGCAATCTGTAGTAGTTATTGTGCTAAGAGGCAATCTGTAGTAGTTATTGGGCTAAGAAGCAATCTGTAGTAGTTATTGTGCTAAGAGGCAATCTGTAGTAGTTATTGGGCTAAGAGGCAATCTGTAGTAGTTATTGTGCTAGGAGGCAATCTGTAGTAGTTATTGTGCTTAGAGGCAATCTGTAGTAGTTATTGTGCTAAGAGGCAATCTGTAGTAGCTCCGTCTGAACAACATAATCCAGTGATTGACATCATGATCCTCTTGTTACACAATGGGATCAACCAAGTCAGCAAGTCTGAGCTACTGATCCTGTTAATCGCCTCTTACGACAAGCATGGCTCATTGAAGACCAATCCTAACCAGGATCTTTATATTAAACAACATGAAGCTTTAAAGTCAGCAATGTTTCTGCAAGATAATGTTTTAGCCTTTTATCATCAGAAACATGAAATCTGTAAATTTTCTCTTATTCAATTTTGATTTATCATCTCTTGAAATAATCTGGTTGATCAGGATTTTCTAACAGCTGTTTGTTGTTGCTTGATTGTTGTTTAACACCACACTCAGCAATATTCCAGCTGCATGACAGCTGTCCGTGAATAATCAAGTCTGGACCAGACAATTCAGTGATCAACATCATGAGCATCGATCTACACAATCAGGATACGATGACAGGTACAAGCAAGTCAGCAAACCTGACCACCTGATACTGTTAGTCGCCTCTTACCACGACATGGGTTGCTGAAGACCAATTTTAACTTGGATCTTCACGTGTCCGTATCTGCATCTGCAAATCTGCTTTAGCACATCACTAAATTAGCCATTTTTTTAGGGTCTGAAATTATTCAGAACGATCATTACCATAATTTAAGGAGTATGTTTCTTCATAATTTGGTTGGCTGATGTTTTTCAAGAGAGTTCAAGTGGGTTTGTGTGATTTATGCTGTAACAGCAACTCTCAGCCTTGTTAACTGGGCTAGCCTCGTACTGATGATGCACATGCACAGAGTTCTCTCTGACTTTGCATAAGATTAACCAAGGTTAATTGTTTTGAACAGAAGCTGAGCATGTGCAACATCCCAGCTGTGGCTCATCATGGAGACGTGACATCTCACACCTCGTTCACTTCATCTGTCAGTAATCAGATGTTGAAGTATATCGGCACTGTCAACATGTTGCAGTCGACTGTCTTTCAACATGTTGAAGTCTATTGTCACTTTCA